CATTGGGGCTTTGCAAAGAGGTTGGGTCTGGAAGACAGGGTCACAGGCAAGATGTGCCAGTGGGGAAGGTGTGTTTGAAATTGTCTGAGTACGGGGGGCGGGGGGGGGGAATGTGCCTGTCCCTTCCCTTCAAGTGGCCACACCCAAGTGCATGTTTTCACTGCATCTCTCTCCACTCTGTCCTCACATTTCAGAGTTCACATAGACATATTTTTGAGAATCTACTATATGCGAAGTGCTAATGATTAGGACATTGTTTTCTGATTTTCAGAATCTTGGTGACCCAATACTTGGTGGGAAAGGGGTAGTTCAGAGGGTGGAGGTCTGTTCTCAGGGGACCCATGTTCTAATAGGTGGGAGATGCAGGTGCTATCCCCAGTGAGCCCCAGTCTGGGGTGGGGACAAGAGCCACAGCTGGGGGCTGAGCAAGAGGCACCTTCCTCTAGGGAAGGTTTGTAAGCCAACAAGAGAAGCCCTGAGGGACGGTGCTCCCTTGGGGAAGCGAAACGAGTCCCTTCCCCCCTCTCCACAGACGTTTCTATGACTCAGGAGCCATTATGCTGCGGGAGGAAGCCACGGTCCTCACTGGGATGCTGATCGGACTGAGCGCCATTGACTTCAGGTGAGATCTGGGTGACGGTTGCTGTTTCTCTGTGAAAGTTCACACTCTTATCCCCTCATACCCGCCCCCAACCTGTGGTTGCTCTGCCCCCAGCTTCTGCCTAAAGGGCGAAGTGCTGGACGGGAAGACTCCCGTAGTCATCGATTATACGCCCTACCTGAAGTTCACCCAGAGGTGAGCAGCCGATTGTTGCGGTGGTTGCGGACAGACGACCGCCCTAAGGGGCGGGGATGGAGGGAGGCGAGCGGGCCGAGCGGCATCCTGGTCTCCCTGCCCAAGAGGGCTGGTGTTGGCATGGGCCGCGCGGGCGAGCAGCGCCGACAGGTGCCCACTGCTCCTTCCCTCAAGCTACGACTACCTGACGGACGAGGAGGAGCGGCACAGCGCCGAGAGCAGCACGAGCGAGGACAACTCGCCCGAGCACCCGTACCTGCCGCTCGTTACCGACGAGGACAGCTGGTACCAGCAAATGGCACAA